AAGGTCAACCAATCAGCAACTCTTCCATGGTGAAATGGGTGGAGCCAAACCAACTACTTCCTCTTTCTTTGCTTCTCCCTCAGTTAAGTAAAACCTGGGTCCCTCATACTGTGGGACCCGTTTTACCTCTTTTATATATATTTGCTTGATATATGTAACTTTGTTCACTATCTGTATCTATTTTGTGCTGTTGGGAGCACAAGACAGCAGCAGGGTTTACTTCATGTTATTTTATCCTGTAGTAGGGATCGACCGATATTGTTTTTTAGAGCCGATACCAATAATCTGTGATGTTTTAGGCCGATAGCCGATAACTTATCGATATCAATATTTTGTACATTTACCATCTTGAAAAAATAAACAATTTCTACACAAATCTATGGTTTACTGAACATGTTTATTTAATATTTTTTTAGCAAATCCTTTCTTTTTTTATTAAGTGGTAAATGCACAAAATATACATGACAGTCCAATGTTTTCAAGAATATTTAGTGTTCCACTATTTTTCGCTCCCATCCCTGTCCCTTAGTGTACCTTTCCCCTCCCTTCCGTGTCCCTTAGTGTTCCTCTCCCCTTCCCTCCCTGTCCTTTAGTGTGTCCCCCCCCACCTTCCTTAATGGTCCTCTCCCCTCCCTGGTGTGCCTCATTATCTCTCTTGTAGTGTGGATGAGTGCAGTGGACTGCGGTACAGGAGTTTCAGTTTCCTGTACCGGTCAGACTGATAGGAATAGCTCTCTCAGTGAGCACTTCCTGTCAGTCCGGCCGGGTACAGGAAACCAAAGCTCCTGTACCGTGGTCCGCTCTGATCCGCTTAACCACACTACACTGAGTGGCTGGTAGGGGGGAGAGCTGTGCACTTCTTTCCTGCCGGTCACTTGATTCTTGCACCCCCAGAGCCAGTGGGCCTTAAGTCGGCCACCTGTGCCGCCTTATGGACAAGTCAGCCCTGCATGCGCTGGGCCACCACTGCCTCTCACTTTATCGTCAGTATCAGTATCAGTAGTGGCCGATTCCAATATTTGCCAAAATCTGGAATATCGGCCGATAATATCGACTGAACCGACTATGGGTCTATCCCTAGTTTTTTGTATTACTTATTTTCTACTTTAATTGTAGTGGTGAAGCTTAGCCTTTTTTTTACCAGGCATTACTATCACTATTTATACCTTTAAGTTGTTCTTCTGATGCGGTTCCTGTACTCCACCGCATTCCCTCTCTATCAGAATCTCTTTGAAACTTATGAACAGCTATTCACCACGCGTATACACATGCGCATTCAACGGATGTTCGCCACACGAATGCACATGATTGACGAACACTCACGAACATCAGGTTCCTGAGTTCTCTAGTTTGTCCCGTATAGAGCGTACCGCTCTTTCGTAAAACGAACGGCTATTTGCCACGAATTTCCCCCCTCCCCCTTTTGCCATATAAGTCTTTAAACTGTGTGGAACGGTCGGCCATCTTTTTGGTTCATGTTCCCTCGCGGCGGCCATTTTAACTTTCTGCCTTCCCGCCTTTTTTGTTTGTTAACCCCTTAGTGACCAGACCATTTTTTCCATTTTCTTACCGTTAAGGACCAGGGCTCTTTTTACATTTCTTGCGGTGTTTGTGTTTAGCTGTAATTTTCCTCTTACTCATTTACTGTACCCACACATATTTTATACTGTTTTTCTCGCCATTAAATAGTCTTTCTAAAGACACCATTATTTTCAAGATATGATATAATTTACTACAAAAAAAAGATAAGATATGATGAAAAAATTTAAAGAAAATCACTTTTTCTAACTTTGACCCCCAAAATCGGTTACGCATCTACAACCGCCAAAAAAAAACATGCTAAATAGTTTAGAAATTTTTCCTGAGTTTAGAAATACCCAATGTTAACATGTTCTTAGCTTTTTTGGAAAGTTGTAGGGCAATAAGTACAAGCTATGTCCAAACCATTTTCTTTTCAAAATTAACGCATTGTAACACTATCTGTCAGGATAGTCCCTGCATATCCCTTCACATGTATATATTTTTTAAAAGAAGACAACCTAAGGTATTAAACTTGGGATATTTTGACTCTTTTCATGCAACCATTACCATAGATTACCACCAATCTATACCAAATGTAAAAAAAAATGGTGGTATTTTAACACTTTCCATGCACTAATTCTACCACCAATCTTTGTCAAACTTTTGGGTAGTCATTTTTTTGTGTTATTTTTCTCTCACATGTTGTGCTGTTTGGTGCCCCATAATTTTTAATATTATTAGAAAAACAATATGGATGTTGGTGAGCTTGGCCTGGACATTGAGTAATGCTGTTTCAACACAGGTCAAAGGAACTTTGTATTTTGTAACCTTAAGAAGTAAACAGGAGGAATACTTATCTACAGTTTAATTTATGAGTTATATGTGTACAAGGGTAACGAGAACAATGGTTTATTACTCAATGGGACTTTACAATCCGAGATACTTAAACTCACAGAGCTTCAGAGGGGTATACAAACTATGCAATTGTTTGTGCATTAACATCTCAGGCAATCCAGAGTGTTTGTCAGCCATACGAACCCAAAGCCTGAGGTCGCTTCCATATTTTCAGGATACTAGAACTTAAATGAATCTATTGGAATCATGCATGATATACAACTGTAAACTAAATGTGTGATTGCTACAGTAATGTCTAAAACTGCATCCTTGACTGATTTAAGGGTAAAAGGTAATATAGGTATACTAATATAATTAGATTCTATTTTTCTTTGTAAAGATGAATGTATTAATCAGTTATTCATACAGGTTAGATGGATACAGGACATAGACATATTGCATGATGATTAATATAACCAACCCTGTTTCAATTAAAGAATATACATAACCAAAGACAGATATTTAACGTAATTTGAAATATCCCCAGTATAGGTGAATTAAAGGTCAATTCATGTATTTAACCAGGTCATGAATGATCTAATTCAGGTCTTCATACCTATGGAAATAGTGCCATCTATTGATGAAAGCCCCTAAGGGCCACATTAATAATTAAATATTAAGATACGCCCATAACCAATCAAAAGCTAGATTTAAGTCCCAGGTACCGCCCATTTACAAACAAGGGGCAGGAACTGATAAGGGGGAAATAATGGTTAAATAGGGAGAAAATGCAATATCTTCAGATGATCTTAAAAAAGATTAAAGGAGAAAACAGAGGGCTAAGAAAGGAGGAGATTGACTGACTAAGGGCAATAGACTGAGTTACAGACCAGAGCACCCAGAGAGGAGAATCCCAAATCAAATTCCTTCATCCTAGACTCTTGGTAATGTATAAAGGTATCTCTTTACTTTATATTAAATAAACGGTGTAAACGGTGTAACAGTTCCCCCTATTTTTGGATCTGTAATATATGTTGTACCAGTCTCCTACCATGTTGCCTGGGAACCTCTACCTTTTGTTTTCCTGCCATCATCATTGGGAGACATTATGACACAGACACTTGGGGACACTGAGACACTAGTGTCTCAGTGTCCCCATGTCTTCAAGTGTCTCTGCTCCCTAGTGTTCCTATATATGTACAAAGCACTGCCCTAGGTGTATGTGTTCCTATGTTTCCTAGTGTCATGGTGTGTTGTGAGTACATGTAATTGGAATGGAAGTAAGGCTGATATGCATATAAAAGAGAGTCAGGGAGGCGTTTCAGTTCCTACGAAAGTAAAAGTCTGGTGTGGAGATGTAGGACCAGCTACTGCGGATACCTAATGGAGTGAAGCGCTGAGGCCTGTACAGACAGATGTGCTTGTTAGCCTTTTTACATTTTCTCTAGGGAAAGCATAGGCCAGTTAACAGTTGTTGTACATGCTATTTGCAGCCTCCATTGCATTTCTATTTAATTTGGGATTTCTTGATGTATCCTCCACTGCTACATACCCACGCTTCTCCCAAGTGGAGACCTGCCTGCTCCCCTTTTTACCTGCCCACCCCTGCTCTAATACTCCTACTCCACCTTTCTCCTCCTTCTCCTTTTCTCCTCCTTTTCTCCCCTCCTCCTACTCCACCTCCTCCTCCTCCTACTCCTCCCTCCTCCTCTTATTCAATCCTACTCCTCCTATTCCTCCTTCTACTCCACCTTCTCCTCCCTCTACTCCACTTTCTCCTCCTCCTACTCCTCCCTCTACTTCACCTTCTACTCCACCTTCTCCTCCCTCTACTCCACCTTCTCCTCCTCCTACTCCTCCCTCTACTTCACCTTCTACTCCACCTTCTCCTCCCTCTACTCCACCTTCTCCTCCTCCTACTCCTCCCTCTACTTCACCTTCTACTCCTCCTACTCCTTCCTCCTACTCCACCTTCTCCTCCTCCTACTCCTCTCTCTACTCCACCTTGTCCCCTACCTGACAACATTATATTTTGAAAAAAAAAAAAAGTTGCTCTGGCCCCTCTTCCGCCACTTCCCAGGGGGGAATACCACACTAACAAAAAAAATAAATAAATTATTATTCAGACTGTTTTGGGCACTCTCAAGGAAATAGTGCGGTCCTGACCCAGATTCCCATGGAAATAAGAAACCTGTATCATCACTGGGAGGTGGCTGCACCTCATGTTTTCTTCACTAAGTCCCCAGAAATCTCATAAAAGGAACCTGACTCAATAAAACATGAAACACTAAAAATCGATATCAGCTCTCTACGGAGGGGGGGGGCAGCAAGAGAACTGTAAATGGAAAGACAAATACCCTCAATCTCACACAGAAATAGGTGAGGATATCTCTTCTACTACTACTCCTCATGGTTGCTTTGAACAGATGAAAGAAGAAATAAGACACCTCTCAACAAGGCATGCAGTAGCTTTGCCAGATCCTGACTCCACTCTGTTTGCGGATGAAGAGGAAAGGTACCATACTGGTTTTGCTGTTGCTACAGAAGATCAGGTACGTCAAGCATCTTTACTTTCCTCACCCACATCTGCTCAAGACACCAAATTGACAGCCTTCTCAGTGGCATGCAAATTGTTTGTTTCTGAAAGACAAGGCCATGCAACAGGAGTGCTCACTCAGGCCCATGGTCCTGGAGGCCGCCAAGGACCTATTGGATTTTTCTCCTGCCAACTGGATATTGTGGCCAGAGGACGTCCCTCTTGCCTTCGGGCCGTCTTTGCTGCCAGAGAGCTCATTGAAAGAACTGGAGATCTTGTCCTTGGCCACCCCCTGGTTGTCTTGGCCCCCCATGACATTTCTGCCATAGTCAACCAGGTCCAGCTTAAGCATGTTACTCCTGCCAGGCATCTTCGCCTTCAATGTCATCTTTTGTTGCCTGACAACATTACCCTCCAAAGATGTCAAGTTCTCAATCCGTCCACTCTTCTGCCACTCCCTGAGGGGGGTGTATACTACGGATTCATCATGGACGAAACATGTTTTTCTTCTCACTGGCACCATCAAGAAGGAAATGCATCCCAACCTATCCTTTCATGATGGACAAGCACTCCTTCATGACGGAGCAGGATATGCCTTCTGTACCATGTGGTACAAATCAAACATCACTCCTGAAACCTGCTATGAAGATGAACTCTATCATCTGGTCGAAGTAAAACTCACTGCACAAGACTTCTACTGTGATTCTGAAGGCAACAGTATGATCTTGATTCATCTACCTCCGGAACTCAAGCATTTGTACCGTCATTGGGACACTGCCATTCCACATGTCCCTGTGACCAAGTTGAAAACAATATCATGGAATGATCTTGGGCCTATGGCAAAAGCATGGGCCACTATGGACGAATCACAGCTACAGGAAAATGGTGTTGTCAAATATCCAACAACTGACCACCTAAAAGCATGGCAGCGTCATTTCCTGGAGAATGAGTTCCAAGATTTAACCATAGTGAATGACTACGACCTAGATACACCTCATGACTGTTTTGAACAGATGAAAATGGAAACAACACATCTACCAACTGTGCATGAAGACCCATTGGTAGATCCCGATCTCACCCTGTTTGTGGACGGCTCAAGATATGCTGATGAAGAAGGAAGATACCATACAGGATATGCCGTAACCACAACAGATGAAATTATCAAATCATCATCTTTACCATCAACTATGTCTGCACAAGAAGCTGAATTGCAAGCCCTGACTTCAGCATGCAAGATCTCTGAAGGAAAGCGCGCCAATATCTACCCGGATTCAAGATATGCACTGGGCGTGGCTCACGACTTCGGATTAATTTGGAAAACAAGAGGATTTCTTACCACCGCCGGTACACCAATCAAGCACGGTTCCGCAATCAAGGAGCTGATGGACACCCTCCTACTCCCAGAAGAAGTGGCTATTTTGAAGATAAAAGCACATGGGAAGTTGGACTCAGATGAAGCAAGGGGCAACCATCTAGCTGATCAGGCTGCAAAACAAGCTGCAAAAGAACCACAGGAAGTGGAAAGAAGAGTGTCCGGAAATGAAGAAACTCCCATATTTACTCTGCAGACTATCCAACTGACCTAAAAATCCTGCGGGAACAACAGGCTACAGTTGCCCCTGAAGAAATACAGAAGTGGAAACAGAAAGGGGCAGTTCTGAAGGATGGAGTGTACTCCAACAACCTCAAGTTCTGCCTCCCTAAGAATTTGTACCCAGCAGTCGTACAATGGGTACACGGACCTGCACATTTATCAAAGGATCTAATGAATGCTCTTGTACAAAAATACTACCTCATTGTCCCTATATGAGATTCTATTTGGGACTGCACCTAGGCAAGTTGCTATTTTCCCCAACAACTACAACTTCAAACTGATGTCTTAGTAGATTATGTAACTGAACTCGCAAACGCCTTAAACAAAATCCATGCCCAAGTTTTCTCTTCAATTCCAGATCCTGATTCTGACACAGGCAACCACAGTCTGCTCCCCGATGACTGGGTTCTGGTCAAGAAATTTGCGCGAAAACAGTAAATGTCCGTTCCAAGTTCTCCTGATCTCCCCTACCTCTGTCAAATTGGCCGGAAGGCCTAACTGGATCCACGCTTCCCATTGCAAGAAGACACCTGCCCCAGAGGAAGCTAACTCTATGCAACCATGTGCCTCTGGTACATTATCTCCATAGTTGGCCTCCTTAAAGCCCAGCAGGTGGCCATCACCAAAGATGCTAGTGGGTACACCTTCTGGTATAATTCATCATGTACCCGTGTGGCTACTTATACTTTTGACTACTGTGACATCGTAGAATGCCCATTCCCCACGTCACAGATTCAGAATATCTATAGAGATATCCCTCATTCAAAAGACCCCTATGTTTGTGTAATTGACAAACAATGGGGGCACAACTGTAACCATTGGGGAGCGGCGGGATGGAATGCCGGGCCTGCCTGGGGTTACAAACCAAAAAGTGTCTTATCTAAAATTGATGATCACGGTAGGTCCCTCCTCCAGAGAATGACTCTGAGAAAGCCCGGAGGAGGCATACCTATGAAATTAATCTTAAACATTGAGCATCCCAGCCCAACGGATGCAGACCAGTATGTAATGGGAATGTACTGGAAGAAGGGTTCCTATAATAAATTAGGACATTTCCACCTTAAAGATATGTGCCACTCTCCTGAGTGGAAAGGGACCACCCACATGGTCTCAAATCCGTTGAAACCACAATCTTTTAAAGACATGATGGCCATTGCAAATCCAACATTTGAAGATACCATGGCCGCTGAAACAGGTTTCAATGATGTTAATCTATGGTTAGAATGGATGAAATATAATGCCAACAAACATAACAGAACCGCATGCTATGTGTGTGGTGGTGCCCGGCCGCACCTGGGCACTGTGCCTTCAACTTTGCCAGTAGATATAGAAGAATGTGTTCTCAGTCTTTTTGCCTATCACTACAATTTCAATAGGTCCATATGTAAAGCATGGACAGTAGAGTATCCTCTTCTAGTCAAAGATTGCAAACCCCCAGATGGTGTTACCGTCTATAAAGGTAATTATACCTGTTATGCTAATTATGATGGAATTGGTAAATTTGTGGGTAACTTCTCTAAAGGTTATTGTGCCACCTACAGAACTGTCTCTATGAACCTCCTACAATTCAACACTAGATCATTGGGGGATATTTACTGGTTGTGTGGGGATCTACAGCTGAGATCAAGAATGGATAAAGAATGGTGGGGGGAGTGTACTCTGGCTAAAGCAATCATGCCCATACATATTATCTCTGACACACACCCCGATACTCATGAGTCCAAACACTCACCAACCAAGGTAAAGCGTGAAGCCCCAGTAAAAGGCAGTTTTGACCCTCATATTTACATTGATGCCATTGGGGTACCTAGGGGGGTGCCCAATGAGTTTAAAACCAGGGATGAAGTTGCTGCAGGATTTGAATCACTTTTCACCATAGTCACTGCAAACAAGAATTTAAATTGGATAAATTACATCTACTACAACCAACAACGATTTGTTAATTACACCAGGGATGCCCTTCAGGGTTTGGCCGAACAGTTGCAGGCTACGTCCCAAATGTCATTCCAAAATAGAATGGCTTTAGATATGATTCTAGCAGAAAAAGGAGGGGTATGTAAAATTCTGCCTGACACCATGACATGTTGTACTTACATCCCAGAAAACACAGGCCCCAATGGTAAAGTAACCTTAGCTATAGGAAAATTGAAAGAGCTCTCTGAGGAGCTAAAGAGGAACTCTGGGATAAAAGATCCCTGGGAGAGATGGTTTGGTTGGATGACAGGATGGCAAAAAGCTTTGATGCATATTGGTATAGCAATACTAATTTTCCTTTTTATCTTTGCTCTTCTCGTTTGTTGTGTCCTCCCTTGTCTGAGAAAGCTCCTCTTGAAGACTGTAGACCAAGCGGCACCCACTTACGCACACCTCACAGTTGATGACCAAGATTTCCAAAAAGTCAACTCGCCCTGTATACCGCTACAATCTATCCCGTTTATTGATAAAGTGCAAGAGTTCTAGGAAGGGACCAGCTTAGGGACAGCATCTGTCTGTCTGGGAAGTCTACCGTGCGGAGATGTGGTGGGTTAGCCACCTCGGGATACCCATGGAGTGAAGTGTTCGAGTGCCCAGCGGACAGATGAGTTAGCCAATTAGGGACAGACGAAGGGACAGCTTTGCACTTTGCAATAACACCTAGCTAGCGGGTCACGGGGTTTCTGTGCCTTTGGGCTAACACGTCTTCTGATACTAACAAATAAAGATTATCTTTTAGAATCTAACATTTCATAGGGGGGACTGATGTAGAATTATTAAAATCTTTATTAGAACCTGTATTGAATTATTGTACTAACTCCATTTTGTTCACCTTACATGACAGAATTTCCTGACAGTATTCAGTATAATGAATAAGAGATTGTATTTTCTCTCTCTAAGGACATAACTAGCCCCGGAGTTAGCGGATCTCCGTTGACTTGCAACATAGTATAATCCAAGGCCAGGAGAACAGTGACAAAATGAAATGTTCTATTCATAAAAGAACCTTGGAACAGACCACGAGACTGACATCACTAACTACGTAAAATGACGCCCAAGCCCCCCTTTCCACCGAGTAAGCCTCGTGCTAAAGAGCAATGGCGACGACATCCCATGATGGGAGGGTGCCTCACTAGTCACTCAAATCTCTGAGCCAATTAATAATATTAATGGGTGTACACTGACATAGCCACTTAACATTTAACCCAATTAATGATGTTTATTTGTTATTATCTGATATTCAATGATGATGTCATTTTGCATATAAAAAGGCCTGCGTGCCCACTTTTTAACTAGATGCTAATAAATTTCCTGAAGTGTTTTTAACCTGAACTGCATGTGTCAGTGTGAACTTACTTCTGCGTATACGCAATTTATTCATCTCAGATTTGGACAGGAACAGATAGACTTTTAAACATTTTTGTTTATTTCTAAATTAATCTACATCACAACTATGTATTTATGTCCTGGCCATATTTGGCATTTAACAATCAAGACTCCTGCGTGAATCTATTGTGAGCTCTTTTTATTCAGTTGCACTGAATGTGTAAAAATTATTATAAGCAAATATGTGAAAAAATGTTGTCCCCATTTTTTTAACATTTTTTTTTTTTTATACATTTAGGATATTATAATAAAGTGTTTTCTGCCCTTTTTGAAAAAAACATATGTAATATGTATGGGGATACTTCATTACACAAGAGAAATAACTAATTACAGTTCAACAACACATAGCAGAAATTCTAAAAAAATTTGGTTCAAAAATTGTGCAAGTGCCACCGTCTTTAACGGGACTCTCCACTGCCAAACTAAAAAAAGGAATAGAAATCACTGATTAGTAGATATACCCCCAGTGACACAATGCCAGAATTTTTCATTGGAAGTATATCTAAATTCTGATTACAAAACCTGCAGTCCTCTTGTCTGCCTTTGCAAACCCTCCCCTTCTAACCACGGTTAGACTTTCTGTTGCTGTCCAATCACAGACTTCCCAATACAGCTCAATGAGATGCCTTTGCAAAACAGGTGCTCTGTGAAGTTAGCTCCAAACAAGGAAGTAACCGGACTGGCTGTCTGATTGACAGACATGTGGGTGTAACAAGGTTAATTTATAAAAGTACTAATTTCTGTTGAAATCTGCACT